CCCAGCAGGTAGAAGTCCTTAATGATCTGGAAGAGAAACACAACCAGGGTCACCTGAGTGGGCGGGGCATAAGATCAGGGGGCGGGGCCTGAGGCAGGGGGCGGAGCTAACCTTCAGCTGCTCCAGCAGGTCGGCCTCCTCCACCATCAGCGTCCACAGGTGCTGGAACAGAATTCAGACCCAGAAAGTCAGAACCAGGGTGGTTTTAGGAGGGAAAAATAAAATAAATAAAGGTAAAGAGGGTCACATGATCATCTGAGCCGGAAACGAGAGCTTTACTCATCAGGAGAGAACACCAAGTCCAGACGGGATTCAGCAGGATGGACTATAAATCTAAACTATGTGATAGAATCCCCACCAAAAGATTTAAATGACCAAAAAGAAAAGAAAACAAGAGCTAAAAATCACTGAATTTAGATAAATAAATCAATAAATAAACCCTGTGGGGAGTTAAGATGGAAAAACCCCTACAGAGCTATTAGAGGTTTGTCCTGTTTATTCAAAAGACACTTTAGAGGATATTTAACTTTTTTTTTTTTTATTCTGTGGGATTTTTTTATTTTTTTTAGAGGAGTCCATAACAAATCAGCCATTATAAATTGTGTACCAGAGCATCTAAACAATGTGACAGAAGACAAACTAAAAGATTTAAATGACCAAAATGAAAACAAAATGGCGCTAACATTTTTTTAAAACTCACTGAATTTATCTTTGTTAAATAAAATAAACCCTGATGTGGAGTTAAGATGGAAAAAAGTGGAAAAAACAAACTAACCCTGACCCTAACCCTAACCTGACCACAACCCTAACCCTGACCCTAACCCTGACCATCTAACCCTAACCCTGATCCTGACCCTAACCTTAACTCTAACCCTAACACTAACCCTAGCCCTAACCCTAACCCTAAACCTAAACCTAACCCTGACTCTAACCCTAACTCTAACCCTAACCCTGACTCTAACCCTTTCCCTAACCCTAACCCTAACCCTGACCCTAACCTAACCCGGTGGGACCCCGTGGACTGACCTCGGCCACAGTGCTCCTGATGCGGTCTATGAGGTTCTCGAAGTCCACCAGGCTGAAGAGCGGCTGCTGTTTGAGCCGGTGCAGCTCGGCGGCGAACGCGTCCTCCTGGTGCTTCAGGATGGAGCCTGTTGGAGCCCCGGGGGGTCAAAGGTCACCAGTTATCCTCCGCCTCCAGGGGCAGGGGGGACTGGGCTACCTACCGGCTCTGGACGGGCTGTGGTTGTGGTTCTCGAACATCTGCACGGACTCCCCCACGAACAGGATCTTCTCGGCCACGCGGACGGGGATGTAGGAGGGGAGCATCTCTGCTCGGAGAGAGAACTGCTGCAGGGAGGGGGCCAGCATGTTCTCCTCCTCCACCAGCCTCTAACGGGGGGGACAGCCATGAAGGTCTCCTCTAATTTAACAGTCTTTATTTTGGACCGTGTGGGAGAGGCTGCTTTGATTTGTCAGTCAAAACAGTGTTACAACCAATTAAAATTAAGAGATTAAAAACACTCTAGTGAATGGTGGGAATTGTTGGGTTTCTGTAATTAACTTCAGAGTAGGTCTGACCTGCTCTGTTTGGAAAGCTGTGAGACAACTGTTGTTGTGATGTGGAGCTATAGAAATAATATTGAATTGAATTCATTTTAATTGTGTAATGTCATTGTCTGAACGTGTGTTTGGACTGATTTTGTATTTTGTGATTTTGTGTTGTTTGGTCTTCCTGCCTCAGGACCACAGATGTAAACTAGCAACTATGCTAGAATCTGGCTCATTTACAATCTGTATGAGATTGTTCATTAATGTGCACTGTCCTGATTAATAAATAAATAAACTAAATTAATACACTCTTAAAAAAAAATAATAATAATAATAATAAAAATGAATGAATAATAAAAAAAATTAAAAAACACTAGTGAATTAATACACTCTAAAGAAATAATAATAATTAAAATAATATTAATAATAAATAAACACTAGTCAAATGCTGTCTTTAGAAAAAAAAAGATTTGAAAAAATATATACAAACAAGGTTTATAACCTACGACGGAGAATTAGGGCCACTTTAAAATATATATATTTTTTAAATTAATAACAATAATACATTTTATTTTTAAAAACCGCCGTTCATGCCAGTCAAGGACACTTTACAAAGACGATCATGATTAAAACAAAGTCGTAAATACATCATAAATAATGGTAAGGTGGGAACGAAATTTTAAACAGGTGGGTTTTGAGTTTTGTTTTGAAAAGAGGGAGAGAGTCGGTATTTCGGATGTGAGAATAAAACCCCTCTTAGCCATTTCCAGCCATTTCCCTCCACATAAAGAACTCCCCTGCTCTATAGCAGGATAGAATATTCATGACTTTAATCTCGTAATTTATTCTCGCCATATTAAATAATGACTTATCTCGTAATTCATTCACAATTTTTTTCCCGCTTTTAAATGTGGCCCTAATACTCCATGGTAATAACCAACTAGGAGCAGTATGGGAGATTAAGAAGATAAAACTGACAGGAGAGGGATATTACAACATTTAAAAAGGGGAAGAAAAAAATTTAAATAAGAAAAAAATGTACGAAATGTGTTTTAGAATATATATAAATTATTTGGGAGCGAAAGCCAAAAATAGACCAGATACTCAGACAAAAAGAGACATTAATATCACACTTCCACAAAATCTGGCTGCACATTTTCCCAAAAAAAGGAATAAAACTACTTTTCTGGAGATTGCTTCCATCAGAAATATCTCATTTGGAAGCTCTCTCCGGGCAGAAACTGAGGGAGACTCTCTGCTCACCAGGTCCTGCAGCTCCCTGAGCTGCTTCCCGCTCAGGCCCCCCAGGCCCAGGTCCTCCTCCTCCTCCTCCTGGTTGGCGGCGGCCCCCCCTGCGCTGGGGCCCTGCTTCACGAAGAACTCCTCGCTCTGGTCCAGCAGCAGGCCGTGCAGCATCCAGGCCGCCAGCTGCTTGTACATGACGCCGTGGCACACGGCCAGGATCCTGACACGCACACACACACACACACACACACACACACAGATGGGTATCGGCCGGCAGGAGAAAACGCAGATCCAGACTCCAGATTCAGTTTAGTTAGCATTAGCATCTGTAACCCACAGGTCTGTGTCCTAACCATTAAGTTGTTATCAGAGTAAATCCCTGTTCAACATGAGTCTGACAACTAAGGAAGTAGATAAAGAACTTTAAACTTTAATACAGGCTCTGATAGGCCAGGAGTTTTACCCCAGAATGTGCAAAATTTATTTTTTTTTAACCATAAAACATACTAAATTTAGAGTTTTTACCTTAAAATGTGCTAAATTGAATTTTTTGCCCGGAAAATGTGAGTAAATCCCTGTTCAACATGAGTCTGACAACTAAGTAAGTAGATAAATAACTTTAGACTTTAACACAAACACATGCTCTGATAGGCCGGGAGTTTTACTCTAAAATGTGCTAAATTTACAGTTTTTTTTTACCATAAAATATGCAAAATTGACATTTTTTCCCTTAAAATGTGCAAAATCTATGTTGTTTTTTTTTTACCTTTAACACACGCTCTGATAGGCCAGGATAGGATCGGATCGGAAGTGCAAAAAGCTGGATCGGGACATGTCTAACACAGACATCTCCCGGGATCAGCACCAACCCCAAAAACCGCCCGCTGTAACCCCCCCCAGACTCACTTTTCCAAAGCCATGCGCACCGGAGGCAGCCCCCCACAGCTGTGCTTGTACACCGTCTCCAGGATCTGGCAGCCGTGGATCTGAAGCCAGGCAGAAGCACAGCTTACACCCTGATAGCAACAATAAGACTGCATACTCTGATCTCTACTCAAATCAATACTTTTTTTTATCTTTAAAAGACCTTTAAAAGGCTTAAAGACACCCCTCTTCAAAGAGCATCTCTTATCCTGATTCTCACCTCTGGACCCTCTAGTCCTCTTTCTGTGTTTCTTTCTCTCTGATTCTGACTGGAGATTTTCCTCTAGAGAACTCATTGTCATATTGATGATAACTGTAAAATTGTGTCTACTTTGTAAGTCACTTTGGATAAAAGCGTCTTAATGCATAAACATAAACAACATAAACATAAAAAATGTCACTGTTCATTTTTAAGTGGAAATTCTCTCGTTTTTTGAAGGAGCTGTTTGACAAAATCAGCTGAAACACACAAAAAAATGTATAACTTTTTTATCCCCAACTGATTTTCTCCCCATAAAAGGGATGATTGGAACTGAAATAACCAATAACAGATCACTAAAAGGCTGTCAGATGCTCTGTACCTTCTGGGACTTGATCGTTTCCACCACCACCATGACGGAGGGGAACAGCAGCTGAAACTGAAACCACAAAAAAAATGAAGCAAATCATTAAACAAACTGCTGGCAAATTGTATATTTTCCCAATTTTTTCCCCCTACACTTTACATCCTTCAGTACCTGATCAAGCTTGTAATTCACATGCGATATGGTCAGATGTGGATCTCCGAGGAACTGAAACACACAGCGAGGTAAATGAGTGCCGTTTCACAGGCTGTGCGAGTCATTTTCAGGCGTGTGCGTGGTCATGGTACCTCCCGCTCCAGGTCCAGCAGGGCCTGTCTGTACGGCTGCAACATGGAGTCCAGCCCCGTGCAAAACGCCCGCAAGTAGATCCCATGGAGTCCCGTCTGGCTGGGCTGGCTTGTGTGATGTTCCTAAACGTTCCAGAGAAATCACCAGCTTGAAACTAAAACTGCTTCTTTTTATAAGACAGGTTAATCCATTAGAAGGACAATAAATTGCAACAGCTAAGTTTGAGATGAGCTGATGGGAATCTCTGAGGACTTGGAGTTAATGGCCTGATAAGCCTCATAAGTCACCTGCTGATGAACATGGCCGGTGTGTTGCTCTATGAACTCTGTGAAGCGGATGTAATCTGAGCCCAGTTTGCACAGTCGGTTCAGGACACTGGTCTCACTGGGATGCAGGAACGGCAGGTCCTGGGACACCTGGGGATGGAAACCTTCTGTCAGCTACTGAAAAGGGGCTGATGTTGCCATCAGTTTTAGGATAATTAGGGATCCCGGTGTATATTTTGACAGAGGATAGATGGCGACACTAATATGATGTATATATAGATAAAATATGTCTTGGCAAAATCTTAGTTTAATAATGCCAAGCCCAAAACTTTCGAACCTTTTTGAAAAAGAAAGCATTACAATTGTGAATAACGTTAGCTAACATGTTTGTTTCAGATTTACCTGCAAACCCGTTCGTTTATTCCACGTAAAGATTGTCCCCGGATAGCCACTCAAAGCCAGCAAGAGCTCGTGGATCATTTTAGCTCACTTGAATAACAAACACATACGAGGAAAAACGTAAAGATATTCATTCATGGTCCCAAACAAACCGCCAGCGTTTTGGCAGTCGCGGGCTGATGACGTCAAGCGTCGCGGCCATTTGCGCGCGTCGTTTAAAAACTTTTTTTTTTTAAATAAAGTAAGGATTTGTGTTTTTATTAGATTTTTTAACACCAAAACAATCCTTTTAAACTATTGTTTGAATTTTAGAGAGAGTAACCAACTAGCTAACAGTTAGTTGGTTGAGTTAATGTTCTGGGAAATGTAGTTCCGTCGACGCCACATTTGCGTCATCACCCGGTCATGTATGCTAGCTAGCGACACATCGGAACAGAGAGATCTCGGTCGGTATGTCGTAGTTTCATATTAATTTAATGGCTCTTTAAAATTTGTGAAACCGTTTGACAGCGTAATGGTCGGTGGTGTTAAGCCCGACAACCTGTTGTGGTCCTTAACCTTTCTTCTGACGTAGCTAGTGTTACCTGACTTACCGTTGGACTCAACTGGAAGTCAGGTAATTGTCACTTTCTAAGCGTCAATCCGGAAAACACGACGTTTATGGCTTAACTAACGTCATATTCCGGCCAGGCGTGTGAAACTATCGCGGCCCAGGGCGTTAAGGACCCGGTCCTCCGTCCCCGGTTCAAGTTAGCCTCAGTAGCTCGGCTGTTGCTCCCATTAAAGAGCAAGTTTCTGTGGGTTTACTGTGTGTGTTTGCTCCTGTCAGCGCAGGGATGGCGGGAGAGGGGAGCGGAGAGGACGTGGTGTCGGAGTACCTGGGCCAGAACCCGCAGCTGGCCGGGTGGGTGGACACCTTCCGCGGCTACTGTGAGAGCAACAAGCAGTGGCTGGCCCGGAGGGAGTTCATCCTGAGGAACCTGGAGGCTTTCCCCACGGTGGAGCCGGGCCAGACCGGCGGGAGCCTGGACAGGCTGCTGTCTCTGTCCATGGTCTGGGCCAACCACGTTTTCCTGGGATGCAGGTAGGACCGGGGGGGGGGTCAGTCAGAGGGGCCCAGCCTCCCCACCCACCACATGACAGGCTAAAGCAGCTTTTGTCTGCTCTGAAAACCCCGTTCTGCTCCTTTAAAGCCCTCAGACCGGCTGAAACCTGCTGTAGAGCTACCTGTGACAGCAGAACTGACCCCACTTTCTGTCTCTGAGGGAAGCAGGTGGAAGTCAGGCTGATAGATAGAGTCCTGAAATGGAGGAATGACTCTAAAAAAGTTCATGCTCCACTAACTGACAACAGATCTGTCAAAGTCTGGAAGTTTTTAATGAAGCTCTGATCCTTAAAATGATGGAAGAAAAAAAATAAAATAAGAAAAAACAATGTACCCAACTAATTTGAGATTAGATATTAATTATTTGGGATCTGGTGGGAGAGAAAGCAAAAAAAGGACCAGATACTCTGACAAAAAGAGAGATTATTAACACACTTCCGCAAAATCTGGCAGCACATTTTCCCAAAAAGTGAATAAAACTACTTTTCTGGAGATTGCTTCCATCAGAAATATCTCATTTGGAACATCCCTCCGGTCAGAAACTGACCTTTCTGATCCAGATCCTGGTTCCTCTGCTCAGTTTTAAGCTGGTATTTCACAGAATTCCTGTAATTTTCAAATAAATGTGAACAAAAAAAGCATCTTTTCTGGACTTTTCCCTGTCATGGAGGCTGATATCTGTCAGTTTATGAGTCCTATGTAACATGTTCTTTCTCTCATTTAGCAGAAATTAAATGAGACAGTTTCATAATGAAATTCGAAGGTTTGCGTGCGGTTTGGAGTTGACCTGTGCCCTCTCCTCTCAGCTACCCTCAGGCTGTCCAGGACAAGATCAAGGATATGAGCGAGGGCATCGTGGTGAAAGACCCTCCGGTTCACAAAACCACAAAAGAAGAAGCGGCGTCCCGCGGGAAGAGGAGCGCCGGTACGGATATATTATTTGTATTAAGTTAAATATGATTTAGCTTCTATTTTGTTAGGTTTTGTGTTTATTGTAGTTCTATGATGTTCCTCCCTCATGTGGGAAGTTTAGGGGACCAACCCTAACTTACTCTGACTTTACTATCTGAACTTTAAACTTTAGCTTAGTAAGTTTTATTTAATTTTTATTAAGGATGTCCTGATCCGATCCCGGCCTATCAGAGCATGTATTAAAGTTTAAAGTTATTTATCTACTTACTTAGTTTTCAGACTCATGTTGAACAGGGATTTACTCACATTTTCCGGGGGGAAAAAAATCATTTTTGCGTATTTTATAGTAAATAATCTGTAAATTTAGCACATTTTAGGGTAAAAACTCTAAATTTATAAAAAAGTAAATGTAGCACATTTTAGTGTAAAAACTGTAAATATGGCACACTGTAGTAAAAAAAAACGGATTTTGCACATTTTATGGGAAAAACTGTCAATTTTGCATATTTTATGTTAAACTGCAAATTTAGCACATTTTAGGGTAAAACTCCCGGCCTATCAGAGCATGTATTAAAGTGTAAAGTTATTTATCTACTTACTTAGTTGTCAGACTCATGTTGAACAGGGATTTACTCTGATAACAACTTAATGGTTAGGACACACACCTGTGGTTACAGATGCTAACGCTAATGCTAATGTGTGATTGGGCCCAGCCTAATGTAAATAAAAAGTTCTTCCAGGTGTGATTAAAAGTCTGATCTGATTCTCTTTTTTCTCAGACGGCGAGGGCGAGGGGGGGGTGAAGCGTAGCCGGTGCGGCCCCCCCGAGGCCCAGAAGTGGGCGCCCCCCCCGCAGGCCCCGGCGGAGCGGCAGCCCCTCTTCAACCGGCTCTACAAGGCGGTGGCCTGGAAGCTGGTGTCTGCGGGCGGGCCGGGGCCCAACCTGGACCACTTCGAGGTCCTGCGCAGCTGCGCCGAATCCTGCAAGACGGCGCTGGCCTGCACCTTCGTGCCTCTGCGGGACATCGAGGGGCTGCCGGCCGGCCGCACGCAGGACGGCCACGTGTGCGAGCTGCGCTGCCAGACGGTGTACCTGGGCACCGGCTACGGGCGGGACGAGGCGGCCGCCCGCGCCATGGCGTCCAAAGAGGCGCTGAAGGTTTTCCAGGGCCGCAAGGTGGCGGTCAAGGTGTGCCGGCGCCGCTTCAGGGGCCGCGACGTGGACGACCTGGTGCTGCTGGACGAGCAGCCGCGCGCCACCCAGGGCTTCCCCCCCGCCCTCAGCTACCCCTTCCAGGAGGGCCAGCCCGAGGGTGACGCCTCCTGAGGCCCCGGGGCCCCCTGCTGGAGGCCCACAGACACTGCAGGGCTCCACTGACCCCCCCACCAGAGGACGAGCAGGTCCAAATCTGTGCAGGTTCCCCCCAGAAACCAGAACCAGAACAGCCCCCGACGCTAGCGGCTTAAAAACGGGGGAAAAAGGGCAGGTTTCTAAGCTAAATTAAGCTTTTTTTCCCTGTTTTTTTCTGTTCAGCGCCCAGAGGATGAAGCAGGAGTTTGGAAATTAGCTTTTCGTTTAGTTTTTCTTTCTTTCTCCGCTCAGATTTTAACAAACCACCAACCAATCAGCTGTTCAGGACGAAGCAGGTTCCCCCCCAGAACCAGAACCAGAACAGCCCCCATTTCCAGCCAGTGGCTCGTTCAAAAAAAGGGCAGGTTTCAAAGCTAAATGAATCTATTTTTCCAGTTTTTTCTTTACAAACAGAAACCAGAACCAGAACAGCCTCCATTTCCAGCCATGTTAGTGGCTTAAAAACAAAAGAAAGCGCAGGTTTCTGAGCTAAATTCTTTAGCTAAACTCCCCCCTAACGTGTGTGTTTCAGAGGTTTTCCCCCCCGTTCTTCATCCGGAGCCTCTCACGTTGAGTTTTTCCTCTTCAGGCGAGTTTGGAAATGAGCTTTTCGTTTAGTTTTTCTTTCTTTCTCCGCTCAGATTTGAACAGACCAGCAGGTTTGTGGTCTCCGGGACGCTTTTTAAGGGGCTAAATGTTGTGAGGCTTCGACGGCTGAAAAGAGGCAGAAAAAGACGGCTTTTGTGGGGAATGGGACGTGTTTGAGGTGAAGTGCTGCTCCAGAAAGCTGCAGGAACACGTGCGCATCGTTTCACGTTGTACTTTTACACTAGTGGTCATGTTTCTATATATTTTAATTAAAAAAATGAACCAATAAAATCGTCCTGTTTGTCTCTTACTTTCTATACTTTCCAGCCAAACCACAATCCTTCACATCCGGTCTGGATCCCCGTCTCTGACCCATCAGAGGCAGCAGGAAACCGGGGGGCTTAAAGCCCCAAAAACAGCTTTAAACCCCAAAAAATGGCTTTAAAAGCAACAAAAAACAGGTTTAAAGCCACAAAAAACTGCTTTAAAGCCACAAAAAATGCTTAAAGCCACAAAAAATACCTTTAAAACCCCACAAATCAGCTTTAGAAGCCCCAAAAAACGGTTTTAAAGCCACAAAAACAGTTTTAACGCCCCGAAAAACCCCTTTAAAAACTGGAAAAAAAAACCTTTAAACACTGAAAAAACTGCTTTGAAATTCCCAAAAAAACAGCTTTAAAAGCCACAAAAAACAGCATTAAAGCCCAAGAAAATGGCTTTAAAATCCACAAAACATCATTAAAGCCCCAAAAATCTGTCTGAAAGCCCCAAAAGCAGCTTTAAAAGCCCCAAAACAGGTTAAAATCCGCCAAAAAAGGC